GAGACTCACACTCAGAGCAGACTCTCAGGCTGCCGGTGTCTTTGCCTCGTTCTATGCCTCCCACCTTTCCCCTTCCCTGTCTCCACACTGAGCATAGTGATAACATACTCATTGTTGTTCGCCTACGATATTTGCATTGTAAATGAAAAACTAAAACTTTAAACCTACTAAAGTCTAACATATAATGCTTGAAGTCAACTTAAACTTGTGCGTTTCAAGGACAACTAGCTCTACTGGCTATCACCCAAATCGGGCTGATACTATCTTTTGTCTTCTATGGCTACAGGTCAAGTAAATCCCAGTCCTCAAGTGTGAGAAGCCAGACTACTTAAACCCCAAGTTGTTTTACAGTGTTGGCTTTTATTATCTAGCTTCAATATGAACATTTCATAAGTCTTATATCTAATTTCCAATTTATTTTCATAAACATTTGTTTAAAACCAGTTGATATAATTTGATATATATGTATTCTGTGTATAAAATGTCAATATAACACACACAGGTATGCATGACACTATAAAATGACGTTTAGTTGTTGGAAGGTGGTGGTATCCCAGTACTAGTTAGCTAAGGATGTTAGTTTAACTATAGGAAACAGGTCACGTGTGGATAAGGAAGCCCACAGCTTGTATTAGACCTGCCTCTTGGAGAAGCAGGGGTTCCAGGAAAGGCACGGTGATCAGTAGAGTTCTACTCGGCCCAACAAGGCATATTCTTCATGCAACTTGGCAAACTCCAGTCACAATATAATGAAGCATTCATTACTGGAGTCTGGATTTGAAGCTCTTTGTTGCCCAGCTAATGGGCAGACAAGACAAGAAGGCAGAAGTTGTCTAGCAAGTCTAATAGTGTAGGCTTTGTGTCATTGTGGTCAGAACCCAGCATCCTTCTCCTGAAAAGTTCCTGTGTTACTGAACTACGCCCTCAGCCAATACTGCTACCAGTCTACACCCTCTCCCTGGCTGAGTCCAATCACTTAGCAGTTCCAGGTAAAGTGTGTATGTTTATCCTTCTCTAAGACTCATATTTATCCTCCCTACTCTCCCTTTCTTTACTGAGCTCAACATCCCTTTTCCCAACTGTCTTCTGAATATTTCTACTTGGATATAACATACCCATTGTCTTCAGATAAATTCTGACTCATATGGCCCATGTGTGTCAGAGTAGAATTGTGCTCCATGGGATTGTCAATGGCTGATTTTTTGGGGAAGTATACAGCCAGGCCTTTCTTCTGAGGCACCTCTGGGTGGACTGAAACCTCCAACCTTCCAGTTAGCAGCCAAGAGCATCAACTGTTTGCACTACCCATAGGAATCTCCAAAGTCAAGCTCCTGGTTTTTCCTCTAACAGTGTCCCTCTCCTTTTATTTTCTATTGTCTGCAGGCTGATAGCCACATCTACTGTGTTAAAGGCTTAGGAATCATCCTTCATTATCCCTTGTCATCCACTTCCAATCAATTAACAAGGCCTGATCATTCTATTGTACCTCTTTAATATTTTATAAACATACACTTTCTTCTCCAGCTTTCCTATCTCTGTCCTAATTCAATCCCTCATCTTTTGCCTGGAGTATACTAAACTTTTCCTAAAAGACCTGTTTTAAGACACACTCTCCTCATACAAATCGTCTTCAAAATTACCAGAGAGATCCCCTGAAAATAGAAATTGACGTAAGCCTCTCTGCTTCTTAAGATTCTGTAGTGGCTCACCACTTAATATCAGTTACGAGGACACAAAAAGACAGTAGAGAAAATACTGAAGGAAGATTATTATCAATCTAGAATTTTATACATGGATAAATGATCTCTAAAACATGAGGAAAAAATATGTATTTTTCAGGTATGCAGTGGCTAAGAGTTTACCGTTCACAGATCCACACTCTAAAGAAAAAGATTTGTTTCAACAAGAAGAAAAATGCGACCGGAGCCAAGACATGCCATATTAAAAATATTATGAAGCACAAATATTGATCAAATGTGTCAGTAAATTAATTTTCTATTGAGGGTTAAAAAATAAAAGAGGAACTTAAACTCTATGTTTAATAGAAAAGTGAAATGGAAAGCATAACCAACAATAATGTCAGAAGGAAAAGGAGGTGTCCATTGGGGTTAAGTCCTTGTTACATCCAGAAGAGAACAGGAACACTGGAAGCACCTAGACTTTTTAAGATAATTTACAGATGAATATGTAGATGAGAAAATTAAGGATAACAAGTAAAATAATTAACAATAGCATCTATGGATTATGAACAGCAGAAGAGAAACAAAATAGAGAAAATTATTTATAATTAAAAAGAGAACTTCAGAAAAGAGTATTTTTAAAAAACGAAGAAATAGGATGATGGATATAAAATGCAACTAAGATGTTCTCAATAAGAACAAATACAAATTACAAAATTTGTAAACTTATCTGTTAGAAGACATATATTATCTACTTGCCTTGTACAAAAATACAATCCAGACTTAAGTTGCTAAGACATACCCAACACAGCTCCACAGACAAATTCTAAATTTCTTAAATAAAGTGTAGAAAAATAACATATGCTTTGAAAATCTCATTTTAAAAAAGTTCAGATGGTATTATGCATATTAGAAAAAATAGAATGTAAATCCAAAAGCCACTAATAGACCTATTAAAACTTAGAGCAATAACAGAGCTGATAGGTGGGGCCAAAGAAACTCTCATCCATGCTGTTAAGCGAGTAAATTGATACAACTACTTGGGATGGCAATGTGTCACTACCATGTAAATTTATGAAGTGCAAATAATAATAGTAAATAAAATTTGTTATATTCATGCAAAGAAGTTCTACACAACAATAAAATCAATAGTTCAGGAAATAGATGTGTGTGTATGATAAGTATTATATATTTACATAAGGTTTAAAAACCTAGAAAAGATATTATGCATTGCTTGTGATTTCAGACATAGGTAGAAAAAGTATACAAAAATGCATGGAAATGATAAGTCTCATATCTATGAGGGCTGGCAATAGTCGGGGGCAGTTCACAGAGGGCTTTAATTACTTGTAAAATATTCTTTCTTGAAGGAAAAAATGTGAAGCAGTTATGGCAAAATAATAAGCATTGATGAAGCTGGATGCTAGTTACTGGGGCATGTTATGTTATTGTCTACGAAGTATGTGCCCAGAACATTAAAAACAAGCGATGCATGTAATTCTTATTACTAGCAATACTTATAGTAATTGTACTATACTGGCAGTAAACTAATACAATTGCCACTATTATTGCAACTAGTACTGCCCCATCCACTACTATTGCTGCTAATACTGTTATTACTGCTAGAGAATCTACCCTGTTAAAGAAGTGTATGGTGACTCCTTTGGTAAAGAAAAGAATTCTTTTGTAAAATAGATAATCATTTCTAATATATCACTTCTGTAAGTTGGAACTTTTGTACATTGAATACTTCAAAGTGCTTTATTTGGTTATTTCTTGTTAGGTGCCGTTGAGTCAGTTCTGACTCACGGTGACCCTATGTACAACAGAACGAAACACTGCCCGGTCCTGTGTCGTCCTGACAATCGTTGTTATGCTTGAGCACATTGTTGCAGCCATTGCGTCAATCCATCTTGTTGAGGGTCTTCCTCTTTTTCGATGACCCTCTGCTCTACCAAGCATGATTCCCTTCTCCAGGAACTTGTCACTCCTGATAACATGTCCAAAGTACGTGAGATATAGTCTTGCCATCTTTGCTTCTAAGGAGCATTCTAGTTGTACTTCTTCCAAGACAGATTTGCTCATTCTTCTGGCAGTCCATGGTATATTCAATATTCTTCACCAGCACCACAATTCAAAGGCGTCAATTTTTCTTTGGTCTTCCTTATTCATCGTCCAGCTTCTGCATGCATATGAGGCGATTGAAAATACCGTGGCTTGGGTCAGGCGCACCTTAGTATTCAAGG